AAGTCTGTACCCATACATGCGTATTTTATTACGTATATATAATTTATTTTATCCTTTTTCAATACTTCTCATTAGCTTACTTTACTTTTTACGTCGTACATTAAGTAAGCACTGTCGCGATTACGAGCGGTAGGATGTTCTTTTTCCAGAGGGTCGTAAGACAGAGAGGAAACTGTATATTGGCTGGACCGTAAGCCCTGCGAGTAATTGAGCTCGCAAAGAATACACATATATATGTGTATTTCTTTTTTTTTTTTCATTGCTTACTCGTGCTTGGCAGCAGCACGGCCACTTGTTACAAATTTAAGGAGCACCTGCTCCCTCTTGTTCCCGTTGCCATCCGCAATTAAGCACTTTCCGTATTTTATTATATTTGCATCTTCATTCCGATGCGCTTTTACGCGTTCGTACTTAGCGAAATTGTGAAAGAGGCACAACGTTGCTTAACGTTTCGCGCAAATTAGAACAAGTATCGATTTTTATCGTCTTCTACTTGGTCGGATTTCACGAAAACGATGTTTACCACGGTGCAAAGGTTTCCTCTTCGCAGATATATTAACATGCAGAGAATATGAAAATAAAATTTCAATGCCTTTCCTTAACTAACGAAACGAGCGTTTGTGATCGTGGAAACGCGAAACCGGTGTGTTTAACACTCCATTTCTATATCATTATAATTCGTTACTGCATATGACGGAATACTTTCTTGTTGCTAATATCGAGAAAGCATTTGCATAATATCCGGATAATAATTCAATTTGTTTAATTAAGTGGAAAGATATTAATAATTTCGGTGAATTTGAACGGTATGGGTGAAATGTGTCCGCGATTTTGGACCGCTGGAGTGTAAATTACACTCCGTTCGACATTTCCCGGGTTAACGAAAATTTAATTGAGGTCGCGCTTTTTCCGAAATTTAAAATTTTCCGTATTATTTAGTTACAGTTAATTATTACTTGAGAAATAATTACAGTCATATGAATCTACGTATGAATCTAATTATTCCATATTTATTCCTACAAAGACTGTCATAATGTCTGAATAATTGATTTGATTTGAGGATGAGCTAATTGACGAATCTCTCTGCTCTATATTACTATGTAATGTAAAATCATCAGGTCTTATATTGCACTATCCTACTCACTGTTATACTATAATATAGCGGCTACTGTATTAATTGTAGACGACATATTATCGACTCTGTATTGACACGTCATTCCGTTGTATTCATGCAGAGGAAACAAAACGTTTTCCCGCGATAATAATCGGTAAAGCTCGGGAAGCACGCGTCTAGCGCACTCTCATGAATTTCATGTTCTGCCCGTCACGCCTCTGGTTGTTCCGGCCAAAAATCGCCGCGGAAGCGGTGGCACGCGAGCAGGAGAATGCAAATGCTACGGCGACTTTAATAGCACGGATTATAAAACAGATCCCGAATCCAGATCTGCGCGCCCGCGCGTGCGTAACGCTACGCTTGAAAATTTAAATCCGCTCTACGGATCCATATAATTCCATTATGCCCGCATTTGTAGCAAAGAGTGGCCGGCTTACTTTATCGGTTTAAAGCGTGTTTACGCGGAGGTTGCGACCGAAAGAAGGAAAATATCAATTCTTCCTTCTTCTCCAAAAAATTATTCAACAATTTATTCGTGTCGCCTAAAAAATTGCCAGTAACTGTATGATGAATCTTATTCATCGTCTTATTATAAACGAGAAAGCTCCGTTTAAGCACGTGTCCGAGTTGCAAGTTGTTTGCACTTCCAACAGCGTCGGTAGAAAAAGCCGACATGCAACTCACATCGCACGCGACTGTGCGATCGTTTATTTTCAGGGGCTGTATTTAAAACCGTGACAACCTTTGGAACATGACGTTTCAGAGATTAGGGACAAGAGTAAAGTGAATTTTACTTTCATTACTTTCACAAAGAGTAATCTGATTATTTCGCCCGAAAATTATGGAGAATTTGAAATTTTTTATATGGGTGCAGTACATCCTGTAATTTCTTCTAAACGACAAAAAATTAATATTAAAAGCAGTAACGGTTTTTAAGAGAAAATAACTCTCTCTGTTGTTCAACCTTAACATACGATATCACCAACGATTCACACCGACTCTTAATCGATCTGCTAAAATATTTCGCAGCAAACATCTTGTAATTGGGAACGGATAAAATGCGCGGCGCACTTCCCGTTAATGAATCGACCTACCAGATCGTTCTATTAATGCCGACGTAATTGTTTCGTTGAATCTACTTGGGTCGATTTGATCTTTCTCAATTCGCAACGGATAAAATATTCGAGTGCGAAAGATAAGCGTCGTCTCGTTCGGTTTTGCGACACACAAAAAGATAAACTGCGAGTAAAACTTCGAATTCTTTCCCGTTCTCAGACTGATTCGATTACCGGCCGAACGTGCGAACACGGTGCCAAAGAAGTGAACAAACGGACAAGCGCGCGATAAATAATGAGATTTTAAAGACTAATTGCCGCGCATTTTGTAACCTGTTGGCGTCCCGAATAAAGTTTCATTCACAACGTTCGCGCATGCAACATGACGATACGAACCAGCAAAGAAACCTTGTAATTTATATCGATTCGATACATACGTTATATTTTAAATTCTCTTTCTACGAATCTAAAGCTGAAATAACTCCGCGTGAAATCGTTTCCTTATTTTCCTTGAAAATAAGAGGTACTCCTTTTTACTTTCCCCAAAAATATATAACTTTTTCATAAAGTATTCCAAGATGTAAATAAGATCCTGAAATGAGGCAAAAATATACCGTACGCATGAAAATTGAATTTTTCAAGAAAAGGAAAAAGTACGAGACATATAAAGATATGTGGAGTTATTGCATTATCCTGAATTGTCATCGTGAATTTAGTATTTCTCTCACGTTTAAATTGTCGAGATATTGTCTGCTCCGCTTGATTCTGGAATGATGTTTCTTCAGGATTTAGCATGCATCGTTCGTGGATTTCGGAAAGGGAAAAAAGAAGAATATCTCGAGAGTCGGCGCAATTTCTGCACAATAAATTTCCGGTGCACGATGTTGCGCATTTCTATTCTCGACGTTATAATTTGCCGACGTCTCATGTGTGTTCGCCGCACTATCCACGGCATTATCACAAGGCGGTTAGCTAAAAGTGTGATAAAAATCACATATCAGGAAGCGCTTATCATAAATGTCGTATTCAATCTTGCGAAAGGCATATTCTCATTGTTACTTTTAGCGGTGTTATTTTTATTACTTTAAATGAAAAATGCATTGTGCTTCTATATTCTCAATATGTTGATTTCGAAATATTAAGATCTCTATAAACGAAAATTCAAGAAGTAAACATCGGCCAAGTAACTTTTGCCCAAGAGGCAGATATTTATTCAATATTTATTGCGCTAAAAGTCAAGAAATATCGGCACGAGCTATCGTAAGTGAAGAAAGATCTGCGGAGAGAAAATAGGAATGAAATAAAAGAAAAAAGAATAAGAAAGATTGACAGTGTAATTTCTGAACGATGACAAACGAAGGTTAATTTATAACGGTCTAAACAGATTCGATAGAAGATCCGACGCAGCAGCTGTAACGGCGCGTCGCTCTGGTAAAATTAGGTAACAACTTCGATAACTCCGGTGCACGTATATAACGCGCTTAAGCCGAATGTATTGCGGCCGAGAGCAGGCTCGGCGTCGACGCTGCGATGTTGCACCACTGCAGCTGCATTAATTACACCAACCGGCTATCTTTTCTTGTTCGGTAATCACGGGCTGGCCGTATTCCCCACCCTGATTAATTAGCTAACGAACAATATCGTAAGTCAATTTAATCCAGTCTTTCCTGATTCAATTTAATCGTGCGAATTTCAACTGGAAATTAACATCTCACGATAGCGCTTGTTATATGTTTGTGCGTGCAAAGTTCGGAGAAATTTTCGAGAAAAGAAAGTAAATACAACATAATTCGAATAAGTTCATTGTAAATCCGAATAAAATCTCCTCGACAAGTAAAATTGCAAGTTTTCGCGAATGATTTCTTGTTCGATCAGAAACCAAATAAATGCTCTCATATCGAAGAAAAGATGAGTTCGCAAAGTTGAGTTTCCAGCATCGATCGGCCACGCACGACACGGCACGACACGATGCCAACCGCTTGTAATTCCCATTAGGGACGCGCGTACTCGCGGACCTATAAGGCGCGCGGTGCACACAAGCGGCCGAGCCGCGCGATATTACAGCATGCTGGGACATGGTATCCCGAGTAACAGCCATGTTCGCCGGCATTAATTAGCAGAAAAGACGGTGCGGAACAACGCGATAGTCTCCGCGTTTTCCGACGTTGCTCCGTTGATACGTTGAGCCAAGTCAACTTCTAACGCATGAGTTTTCCTTACAAAAATTAGCCTTCAAACGCGCGGAATTAACTTACGTCTTGATTTCTGTTTCGCGTAACTACGAAATTCCACTACTATTATTACATGCTATCGATATATATTCTGAAAGTTGCCCTTTATAGGAATACTTTGTCGGCAAAATACTGACATTCTTTTGCAAATTTTACATTGCACCGATTGCGTAGAATTCTAAATGCTTTTACACAATAAATCACGAACGAAACGTTCTAATTGATTAATTGCACCGACCTTATGTCTATTTTCGTATAAAGTTAACTTTTAAAGTATCTATTTTCTCAAAATTTGTGTTGCATTGAATGTTTTTTTTTTTATATACGTGACGTTCTCTTTGTAAGGTCTTTTTGTTAAGTATATAAACTCAGTGATTTCAACAATAGAATGTTTTTGGTTCTATCTAAATGAGAGCATTTTCTCACCAGAGTTCGTCATTCACTTTGGTATCCTCCATAATAGTTAATATGATTTAATAATTATCACACAGATCGAGATAAAAAGATTGTCGGAAAACTCAATTCGCACACACACACACACACACACGTGCATTCTTATCGACTCAATTTCTTTCACGATTCAATATTCAAGACAAGCCTCTAAGCTTTATCCGAAGAATTATCGTACGCCGGATTAACCACCGCTGTGTTGTCACTGTCGTCATCCGGCGCATTCCTCTTCGTGGCCGGCCCCCACAGTGGCGAGGGTTGGAACAAACTTCGGTAATTCTGCGAACAATCAAGAAGGCGCAAATTAAATCGTCGCCGATCCGATAACGGGCATCTCGCGAGGTCATATCGCGAGTATCTTCGAAAAACAACGGAAGTAAAGGTAGATAAGAGTAATGTTAAATTTATCGGCTAACGGAAGGCGGTCAAGAAAGCGAGTTGTCGGCCTCGCTTACTCTCCGTAAAAATAGGTGCGATCCGGAACGATGGAGAGCGACGGGTTCACAGAGAGAAACTTTTCGTTTCAAAGTACGATTACCTACGTACCGTGGAAGAACTTGTATTAAGACGTTCCACGAGTTCTTGAGATTTTACAGTACGGGCTAAGTCTAACTTTTAAACCGGAACGTAACCGCCGACCTTCGAGAAATTTCCATTCTAATCGGGACGATGCAAATACGACAACTCATGTCAACGTCTACATACCTGCGTTGTAAATCTGACCACAGAAATCGGTCGAAGAAAAAGTTTCGACGACTTTTGACTTTTGTTTGTAAAAAAACTTCTTTTCTATTCTAACGAAAATTCAACGAAAGATCACAGGAAATGTCCTTTATCAACACAACTGTCACGTCACGTGGGCGGTTTTACTTACTCAAAAGATTTTATTATGTTCTTGGAAGAGTAGTACGAAGCGAGATCATAAATTCGCAAAATTCACATAAAATTGAAACAAATCAACGCGTTGAGAGATCTAATCTCGAACTTTGATAAATTTCGCAAAATAATTTTTAACCATATGTATGTATGTCCGAATGTTTGTTACGATTTCTCTGTTCTTTCCCGAGATAAAAATCTCCGATATACTAATTATAAGTGGCATTAGCGGAATCTTCCAGCCAGAGCTATCTCCTCACCTTCGCTTGCCATAGTTTTATAACGAAGAAGATCGGCATCGGCGCCAAAGTCGACAATCCGATCAGTATTCCAATCGCATCCGCCCATTTGGGGAATTTATACGAGCCGTAAGTTGCTACAGTGTAGGTACTCGTTTGATATATAAAGATCCCCTATAGATAAAAGCTTGGTTAGTTGGTCACGTACGGCAGGAGTGGAAAAACGCGCTATAATTTTATTCGGTAAAAAAGTAATCATAAATTTTGAAATCTCACAATAATTGATAATCCATTGAACTCGTATATTCTTCTCCGGTAATATCCAGTGATGTAAGATTTTGAAGAAGATCGAATTGCTCTCGCTAGGAAATATCGAAAGCACTTTTTTAATCTTGACGCGCGAATTTGCAAACGGCGATTGTTTAATTCACGAAGTTTCAGTAATTATTTCGTGCAATTAGAATAGTGCGAGAGGGCCGAAACGTGACACAATTATCAATTAAAAGAGATTTCATATTTTTAATCAAAACTAACTTCCGCAGGGCACACACCAGCGTGTCCCGCCGAGGGAGATATTCCGCGAACAACCGTGCCCAGACAAAATTCAGCCGTTATAAATAAAAATTCGCTTGGCATGCCCCGGACAGGCAGTCGGATTAATTAAGCAGTTTGGTCGTGGGAAATTCGCCTCCTAGGGCCGCGGCCCAGAACGAGTCTTGCGGACGGTAAAACTAATAAACCCTACCTTGGCATTATTCCGATAAATTTTTGCGAATAACACAAATCCTTTTTTATGTATACATGAAACTAAATCCAATAAATTCTAATAGAAATGAAATACAATCGTGATAATAAAACTCATTCAATTATGTAAGCGGGAGATCCATGTGACACCTTTCTTTCTGACAAATCGAAGAGTCGTTATGAAGCAATCTGTATAACTTCATAAAACTAAGGAATATTTCTTAGGCAGCATTATTCTACAGAGCACTTCCGCACAGTCTAAAAGTTTTTACTTTCCATATAAATTCGATTAGTCGTCTTCATGAGACGGTCGCGACTAATACACGGTGCCTGTCTCTTTCACCGAACTTTCCACAAAGTTTACAGTCAATAAACGTAGACTCCTTACTCCGATGGGATTAAGCACCGTCATGCTGTATCTTCTTCTCGTTATTACCGTCGATTGTATCGCTTGGCAAATATATTCTGTCGTTAAAGTTTTGATCGTCGCATTGAGTTTACTCGGAAGCGTATAAAGATAAGGGTCGAGATAACTTATTTCAATAACAATGGAGAATCGAGACGTTGCAAGATCAAAGTTTATACAGGAATGTTTTCATATAAAACACATCTAAACTATCACACAATTTTATTTTACGCGTTTCTCACGATTAGAGAAACATTTGTTTCCAAGCGCACCTTAGTAACAATTTCCCAATTAATAATCAAAATAATGGCTTATAAAGCGATAGATTGCTTCGTCTGTGTGAGATACTTGGTAGAAGTATCAATGGAAATTCCTGCGCTGGGTAACGAAAGGATTGAGCGGAAGACGCTTACCAAACAAGTAAGAGGTGCCAAGACAACCCAACTGAGCCACCAGTAGCCATGGAAGAAACGGCTGAAATGCATTCCCATTTCGGCGACGTTATCTAAAAATTTATTGCAGCCGTAGCACCAAGAGGCCTCGACGACCTCGGCGACTCCGATCAGTAGGATCGCCCAAGAGGCGGTATTCCAGTCCATCAGTGTAAACATATAGATACCCCCGCCGTACACCATCGGGATCGCCAGTAACCAGCAAACAATGCATATACCTATGATCACGAAACCCTCGCGTTTTCGCAAATTCGGCCACTTGTCCAGTATGGCGGTATTTATCGCTTGCACGCCTGCAAACTACCATGAAAAATAACGACGATGCTCTTCTCTTGTTTGAGAAAAATTATGTATGGATCGATCACGCGCCTTAACGCCTGTGAAAAGGAAGAGAATTTTTTTAAGAAAACTTCTGCTCGCAATAAGCTACTAGTTGCCGAACGGTAACTTTATTGTGTAAAAAGGTACATTTACATTGCGCGTTTGTTGGGTAAGTATTGATTGTTACTGTAAATTACGCCCTTCACGTTTACTCGCGAACTTTAAATTGTTGACATATGGCTAACATCTTGCGAACAGATTTTCAGCAAAGCTTTAAGTATAAAAGGTTGCAGCATGAAAGAAATGTTATCCTCCTCCTTTTGGAAAAAAAACGAGCGAAATTCGCCAGTCTATTCGACCAGCGTAATTTGATTTTCTTCGGGAAAAATGCTCAAACTTTAACCTCAAAAAAACCTCATCGATATGAGGCAAAAAGTCGGCTAAATCTTCGGTATGTCAGATAATAAATGAAAAATAAGTCGTTAAATTTAAAGATGCGAAAAATCATGTAAACAATTATTATTTTATAATATCATTCTATCCCCTGCAGTTTTCCGATCGTTTGTAATTCGATTTTGTAAGAAATTCCGAACATACGGTCGCATATACCGCGCGCATATTATTTCGCTCCATTTACCGAACTATTTCGAATAACCAGAAAAGACAAACAACTCTCCGAAACAAATGCAGTTAGCGCGATGTTTCTCGTTACGCGGGAGAACATTGAACGACCGTCCGGCTGCACTGGTAATTAATTTTCTCATAAGTACGACGAAAGTAAAGCTTTTTTCGGAGAACAGACAGCTTTTTCCAACTTTGGTCGAAAGAATTTTTTTGATTTATATTTAATCATCAACTTGTTATCGAACTTCATACAGTTGCTTCATCGGACGACGTAGTGTATTGACAAGCGCTTTCGCATTTATCGCTCCCAGCCACTGAGTAACGTTACACGACTGAAAGGATTAAACATTTGTACAACCTCATAAGCTCCCTAAGGTTGCCACGACAGGCGTGAAAGCACGTAAGATCGAATCGCTCGTATTAGCTTCTTCTCCAGACGGAAAATGCTTAGAAACGGCGGGCAATATTATTAAAGCTCACTCAGTGTACTCACTTGACTGCCAAGACCGAGAACAAAGAGCATGAAGAAGAACAGGACGGCCCAGAGATTGGGTAGCGGCATTCGCGCCACCGCCTCCGGGTAAGCGATGAAAGCTAGCCCCGGGCCGCTCTGAACCACCTTGTTAATTGGCATATGCATCTGCTGGGCCAGAAATCCGAGCACCGAGAATATGACAAAGCCGGCGAAAACGGACGTAAATAGGTTTGTGATGCTAACAAAGATCGCGTCCCTGGCAGAATCAGAAAACGTTCGACCGGTAAGAATTTTCTACATATGTAAGCATTTCACTGAAATTTTCTTTTCATCGCAAAAAAAGCCGTACCTGTGGCAATTGTTATTGAACTTGCTGTAGCTCGAGAGAGTGATTAGAGAACCACAACTGATGCCGAGCGAATAAAAGATTTGAGAGGCAGCGTCTCCCCAGACCTTGGCGTTCTTCAATGTCGACCAGTCGGGCGTGATATACCAGAGAATTCCGTCGGTTGCGCCCTCCCCTAACGTGACACCTGTGCAAATATCCTCCTGAGTTACAGTCCTGTCGATTATCCTTTTGTTTCTTACCTCGTATCAACAGTGCTATGAGAATAACGTAAGGAAAGAGCGCTGTGAAGTAGACAATTTTGCCAACGCTCTGAACTCCGCGTATTAGACAAAGGCAGCAGATCACCCAGGCTAGGGTGAGACACCCGAAGACTTCCCACCGTATGCTACCGAAGTTTTCCCATGTGGCACCGCGTATACCGAGAACGTAGTCGCTGGATGTGACCGACAATTACACGCTTTTGCAGGCGTGAGCATGCGTAATTTTCTCTGCTTGCTCCTCAACGCTGAACAGCGGCGTAAGGTTCGTTACCGATCCTCCGACACGATGCAGCGCTGATGACAATTAAACACAATGTCCCACCTCCACCGCGTTATTTCGTATAATTGCATATTTTCCGAACGATTTTTCTTTGGCGAGAACGTGTCAGTTACCGATTGCGCCCGATAAGTTCTTAATTTTACATATACTTTTGGAACTCCGACACGTGAAGTTTTTAATTCCATATATATTTCAACTGAAGTTTGCCAAAAATATGTTTCCATTTGGCTTTCTAAAATTCGCTTTACGAGAAAGGTCTTTTCGATCTCCTGTAATGTGGAAACTATCGGCGCATTTTTGACGAAGAGAAATAGACTCTAGGTTGAACGAAAAGGTCTGTCGTTCAAAAATAATAGAATTGAAGTGGGACATATATATATATATATATATCGTACCTGTAGTATTCTTCGGACGACAATATCCGAGTATAAAGGCTAGTAAATAGTTGAAATCCTCCGTCATTTTTAAAACAACCAGTGCTATTGCCTTTGGAAGAATTGAAGAAACCCATACAGACATCATCGAAGGTCATGCAAGTTTTGTTGAAAAACATGGTATTACTTTTCTGGCAATTTATGTCATCAAGGCCGCTGTAACAGTCTATCGATATTAGCGTTTAAAATTTATAAGTATCTATAGAAACTAACGAATGATATAAAATGCATAAAAATTCTTTTGCATAGAAATTATTCGTAAAATATGAATTTTCATAAATGGTCGTCGCTTTAAATTTACTATTCGGGAGAACGTAGATATTTGACATCATAATTGACATTCTTATCACAACAGAGAAATTTTAATAAAGTACGATTTACGTAAAAATTAGTGTTTGGTGAATTTTGCTGGCTCTTTGATGTTTTCTAACTCGCCAATTAAACGTTACAATCAGAGTTACAAAAGTTGTAGGATATAATATTTTTTTTTTCATTTGCAAATATTAAATTACATTTGATATTTTCAATTCGTTACTCGAAATAAAATTTCAACACAGCCGCCTATTGTTATATTATTATTTACTTATTTTTACTTACATTTTGTGTTGAAATCGTTATCGCAATAAGCCCAGGCGAGTCTCGGCAAAAAGGACGCGAAAGTGTAGAATAAAGTCCACGCAACTATTACCATGTAATATATAATCACCAGGGCTATTACGACCAAGGTAGAATAACCTACGCCATGAAAAGCAGGTGCCATACGGCTGAAAGACTTAATGGGCCCAAATGCGGTGTACTGCCCCAAACAAAGCTCCAGGTAGAAGATGGGTAGACCCATTGTTATCAACATGAGAATAAAAGGTATCAAAAATGCCCCTATAACAATAATTAATATATTCAAATCATGTCTTTAATAAGTAATGTCTTCAATTGTTGCGATTTCATTGTATCTTCTCTTTCACCACTCTTAGAATCGAATTTTTCTTTTTTCTTGCTTCCGTGACAGCTATCCGGAACGACGTAACAATAAGCGCGTGGATGAACCGTATCATCAGAGAAAAAGCTTCGCAAAAAGAATTTCACACATGTCGGATAATTCGGATATATTGATAAACGTGAGAAATCGGACGACCCGTAGAATCGATTAACCGGATAGTCGAATGTCCGGCAAATCTGGACTGTATTTACGGCTTAGTCGTATCATATCGCGTTTTACGCGTGTATGCCGCGGGACGTACATACCGCCACCATTACGATATATGAGGTAAGGGAAACGCCAAACATTGCCGATGCCAACGGCGTACCCGACGCAGGATAGAACAAACTCGATCGGGTTAGACCAGTTGCCCCGCTCCGGCTCGTCCAACTCCACCGAAACCTCGCCAACGCCGAGAGAAACCCTCTTTGCCTGCCAATAACACACGGGAACTGCGTTATAATATTTGCATCATATAAGTTACCTTCGAATCGGGAAAGATTCGACCAACCAGTAACATCGATGCGGTACGAACGAGTGAGGAAAGAAAAAAATGGGTTTTTCACACACGCATATACATTGCGTCGAAACCTCAGACGTATTTGCGTAATGAGATTACAGACTCGACTGAATTTATCTCTCAATATTGCAACGGTGAAAAAACATTCGATCGCATCATGAAAGAAGATAAAATCTAATCGATTATTTTTCTCCCCTAGTCAATATAATTTATCTCCAAGAAAAACTTCATTGACGTATCAATGATGCATTCTGGCACGTATTTTTTCGAAGAAAGTTATATCGATGCAATAATAATTGACGCGAATGCAATAATAAAGGGCGAAAAGGGAAAGTTAGAGATGAACATTTCACAAGAAACCAGGAAAAATTAATGAAAAAATTAACGAAAGAACAGAAAACCATGAATTCTCCGGAGCATTCAATTACAAGCAGGCTTTACACGGAGAAAGAGAGAAAAGAATTTTCATGTTATCTAGGATATTCAATATTTCAACAACCTAACGATATAACTGCGAATGCGCGTATAAACGGTAATTAAAAAGAAATCTTGAATTTTAATAACAAATTATAAACTATTACCAACGTAAAATTATTATGCAACAAAAATAATTACGGAAAATGTTCCCGACATTTTATCTACAATTTTAATAAACACATATACAGGAATCGTAGACATTATTGCCTGTGCAGTATCATATCCGTCAGTAAGAAAAAAAAAATCATTCAGCCACCACAGGGTCAGAAATAACCTTACAACTTACAAACGGTAAATGCGAAAAAAGTTATCTGCGAGCAACATGCCGGGAGAATGGAAAAACAGTGTGAAAAAATGTTCAAATCTTCTCTCTTTAAGATTGAAAAAGTGGAAACCCTACAGTCTTTGGGGATAGCAGCCGTTGCTGGATAGAAAATTCCGATAAATGTATCCGAGAAATTTCCGTTGAAATTTCCATCACCCCTACCGTTAATTCAGCAATATTCGTCCACGCTAAACATTGTAATTTCAACTTATATTTCAACAACGGCGATCGCGGGGGAAACAATTGCAACACGATTGAAACATGCTTACATTCTCAGAAAAAAAAAAGAAAAAACTAACCTTAGACGTTTTTTTAGATTCCGTCATTGTAGCAAAATCCGATTCAAATATCACACGGCACGGCTTCGATCCGAGACTACGTTGACGACTGTCTGGGCATTCTCAACGTAATCTCACAGCTATAATATTCTGTGACAATAAGTGGCAAGATAATACTTAAGAGCTATTATCGGGATGGTTCCCACTCGAACGAATACATTCGAGAACAAATAAATTTAATCACGCATTAATATCGCTCTATATCGCGTAGCGCAATGCGACGCGCAATTATTTCAGTTATTCACAAATAATCGCTGATACTAAAGCACAGAAAGATACGCTGTATAGTACTCCAAGTTTTCATTAACACTCGCACCGTGAGGTATCGTAGCGTTCATATAAACTCTGATAAGGTAACAATGTCGTCAGGCTCGTAGATAACGAGAGCGTTCCCCGAAAGTGCCGGTTTATCGTGAACGTTTTTGCAAAGTTGAATGATCGAACATATATGACTTTCCTTCCCATATCTATACCTATCTGGAAAACTGTATATAATAGGAAAAATAATAATTAAGGAAAGATAGAAATATCCAACAAACTTGCTGCAACTTGGTGCTGTTTTGGAAATATTAGATTCGTATAACTCCAAAAATACACGTGTGATTGTAACAATTAAGTATTACAATATATATTGTATAAAAAGATACACGTAAATTACTTTAGACGAGGTGTTTTTCTTTTTTCGCTGAAAAGCGATCGGCAATAGAACTCAGGCAAAAAGATATCGTCGTAAATTGTATCACCGGTGAAATTGATTTTGCTTATCTCCGTTGTCACTTACGAGCCCTTGGAAAGTACGAAAAAAAAAAAGATAGCTCAAAGTACGATATTCCTGTTACGATTACGGTCTTATCAGACTGTCAAAGATTGTCAATTCTCGCAATTATCCGCAGCAGCATTATCATGCAGCGATGTGTGACGCTGTCTAAAGATAAGCTTGCCGAAAGTCTTAATAAAGTCTCGTTAAACTCCATTCTTTCAAACTAGACGTGTATCAGACGATGGCGATCAATCCTATAAGATATTCTAGGATAATAAGGTATCGAGGAAGAAGTCACTCTTTAAAAAATGCATATAAAGCCGAAATTGAGCGTTATCGATTTTTATTCTCGCTCCTCCTCCACTCAGCGCTAGCGGAATAATCGAGTTCATAACCCAGGAAAATTATCTAAAAAAAGCAATTTCATATTAAAAATTGAATTGAAATGATGGCCTCGATCGACGAATTCGTTTGAAATTTGGTATCACAAGCCTCTCTGAAATAGAAGATCCAGATTAGAAACGTTCAGTTGACACACGCGAGTGTGTCGAAAGAATTGAAAGGACCGCGGTGCCTATTATTTTCCCAACGCGGGGGTAGTTCCATAATTCATAAAGTTTGTCGCAGCTCCCTTTTTCTCTGTCAGGTTGAATCTTTATAAACGATAACTTCGCGCTTGCGTTTGCCTTCCGACTGGAATCGGTGCTCCGTATGTGCCACTCCGAGGGCGAGTTTGCAAATCGTCTCTTTTATCCCGTCGCTCCACGGGAGCAGATTTGCTCGCCTTTCCTGCCTGCTCCCATCCTCTATCGCGATGCTACTGCATACGCGATTGGACGATAGCGAGATCATTCCTTTTCCGGTCCTCTCGAATAAAACAGGTTTTTCCCCATCGCCAACATTTCCGCGATAAAGTAGTACATCCGACTTTTTTTCTCTTTTTTTCCACTGCGGTCGCCCCTTTTCATCTCTGAATTCCATCGTGATCCGAACATTATCGGAAAGAGATAAATAGAACGGGATAATGCGCATTTTTAGTCCAACAAAAGTTGCAGTAAATTTGACTAAATTTTTGTTCATATATTTTTCCAACTTTATGAATATGTCGGCCCAGTAACAATATCCAAATTTTCAAAGCTTATATCAATTCGGTCCACTCACTCCGCTATTAAATACGTCGTTCTTTAGCGAAATTCGGACAATAATTTTCTCTGTCCTAAGGGAGAAGTTCTTCTACTTGGTTGTTTACTAGGTAAAGGAAAAGTTTTCGACGTAACAGTTTCCGAAAAGAAATTGTCTTAATAGGCTATGTATGTTGTAAAAAGAAAAAAAAACGATAGTAAAATTTCTTCACTGCGAGACAAAGAATGCCGAAGAGAACAAAGAGTGAATGGGAGAAAAACTATCGGTCTAGCCTAAGAGGGACTTTCCAACGAATATTTCACTAGCCATGACGAAGGAAAAACGCCGTATTGTATAGAGCGCAGGTTGTATTTTCGATCGATGAGATTCGTGCGAAGCTTTTCGTAACTTGATTTGTAATACGAATTTACAAATAGCCGGAAATGGAGGGTGACGTACATACACCGTTTTGCGGACTGAACGATATTGCGAGCCAATATCTCCAACTTGGTCAATTCGATAGTTTATCTTTGGTCGCTTTATTGCGTTCGGCGCTAATGCAAATGTTTTTTTCCCGCTTCACCCCACGTCGGACTCACCACCTCGCAAACTATGCCGAACAGATGCGATCGATGTTATCAATGCGGGCTAAAGCAGCGTGTGTTACTCCGGTTATTCGAAGTCGGGTGAAATGAACAACCGGAAAGAGTCATGGACAAACTTGGTGGACTAGTATTTTGATCGATATACAGGGTAAAAAGTTAAGAGTGTCGCGCAGTTCTTAACATGAATTCGTTGTGAGATCAATCTTCTTTTTATAAATATCTTGCAATTAAAATTTAATAAAATTATATATGACTGCAAGAGTGTCGGTGTTCTTTTTAACGAACGCCTATATATACTTGGATAGTTTAGGCCTTATCGTCGTTGAAATGAAAGTGTTTATATTTTTAATTTTTGACCGCGCTGAAAGATCCTGCCACTTTTTGCCATTCGCGAGCGTGAGCATTTAATTGAAACGATTCGAATTATCTCGTAGTATTGCTTGTCGCTTAAAAATCGCAAAATATTCTTTCCAGAATGCGAATATTTTTCCCAGAGTTTCATTATAATCGGACAAATATTAGAATCAGTACGCACTGCAGTATTCTACGTTCTATTACAAACAAATGAAAAACTTGAAATCATAATGTCAAACTCTTTATTAAGGCTTGAATATTCGTTATCCTTTTTAAGGAGGAAAATCATACCAATTTATGTGACGGAATATGTGGAAATAAAAGAATCCACGCACAAGATAACGCTCAGCACACTTGTAAAAAGATTCTTTCCTTTAAGACAATTAATAAATTAACGCAACAGAAATCATGAGAAAAACGTAAGTTGCGTGTTACACTAATTTACGGCTATTTATTAATTGTTATTAAAAGGAAAAGACATTTTTCGAAGAGTGTTGTATCAATCGTTATTTCGTGCGTATATATTCCTTTATTACCACATATATCGTCGCATAAAATGATTTTTCTGGCATCATCGAAGAGGGACAATTATATCCTAAAACAAGAATAAAAAGAAACATACAATTCTTTGTAATTTAACAAAAAGGAACATAATTGGAGATGCGCGCCCCGTACACACGGAACAAATGTTCGCAAGTGAGCGCATGATTTTAATTGCATAAATCACCTACAAATACATATCTTTCATAGGTTGAGCATTTTTTGCATTTGATGCATTCTACCCAGGCTTCTAAAGGTGGTTCCTCCAATTTTTCGTAGCAGAAAGAAAAATAAAAATACTCATCTTTTTCCCTTTATTCTGTGACCTTCTTCTTTAAACTGAGGGACCTGGGTTATTAGGGCTAATTTTCTCATAGGAACT